AAAGACCTCGGCCAAAGGGGAGCTCGCGCTCGGCGCCCAAAAACTCCGAACACCCGTCCCCCTTACCACCAACGGGCCGCCTCACCGGTACGCCCTGGGAGATCCGTGTGTCCAACCCCGTCGCGAGGACGAATGGGGGGGACGAAGTGCCGCGAAAAAAGTGGGGGCAGGGAATGAAGGAGAAAGGCGGGAGGAAGGAGGGAGGGAGGGGTAATGGATGGAGGAACATCCTCCTCCCTCATCGTTCTCCTCTGTCTCATCCTCGCCCAGACTCCGGCTCCCTGCTGTTCCTTCCTTCGTCATCCTCCTCATCCTCCTCCCTCTCCAGCTCCTCCTGCTGCTCCCTCCCCTCGCTCCTCCCCCTCCTCCTCGCTCCTCCATCCTCCTGCCTCCGACGAGCACGGATCTTTCCCATGCTGACTTTGAGCGAGCGGGCCTCCTGCCTCCTGCCTCCTCCCGAGGATCCGAAATAGGGACGCGCCGGGACTCCGATGAATGGGCGGCCGAGGGCGGTACTATATATATATATATATATATATAGATAGATAGATAGATAGATAGATAGATGCCTGTTCTTTCCCTGTTCTTGTATTTTTATTACCCGGGACGCCCCCCCGCCTAAACCGGACCCCCCTCCAGGGATGCCCTGGACGCCTTTTCGGACGTCTCAGCGGCCCCCTGGACGCCCTTGGAAAAAAGGTCCGCTGGCCCTTCCGAGCCGCCCAGGGCGCTTTGCCGGGCCTTGCGAGCAGACTCGACGCGATCAGAGGGGTCATCGGAAAGGCGCAAGAGAGACCCAAGACAGCACAAGAGCGCTCCAATAGGAATCTCGATGGTCTGAAGACGGCCCAAGAGGCCCCCAAGACGCCCTAAGAAGTTGTTAAGAGAGCCCCGAAGAAGCAACATCGTCCCATTCCCTCGCGAAAACGTATAAGCTTATCATATCCGCTGTTTGGGATCTCGCAGCGTCCAAGACGGCCCGATGGGCCCCCGATGTCGTCCCAAGAAGGCCCAAGAGGCCCCCCAGAGGTGTGAAGACGGCCCAAGAGGGCCCCAAGACTGCCCTAGAGAGCCCCGAGACTGCCCGCAAGAAACCCATGATGCCCCCAGAAAGCTCCCAAGAGAGACCCACGAAAGCCATGGGAGACCTCCAAGAAAGCCATTAGATGGCTTCAGAAGGCCTCTGGAGGGCCCCAGCTCCCCAAGACGGCCAAGAAGACCCCGGGACGGCCCAAAAGGGCCCCAGGACGGCCCAAAAGAGCACCAAAGACGCCCAGACGGCGTTTTCCTACGAAATACGTCGAGCCGACCCGACGATCTTGGTTCCACGCTTGAGGCTCGAGGTTTAGGTACCTCGATCGAGAGAGACAGGCAATGGGTCTAGATTCGAAGTTCGACTACCGAAGATTTCCTGAGTGCCTGGAGCCCCCCAGGACTTCAGGAAGCTACCAAACATCGATTTGTTCGGAGCTACTGCGACTTCTTCGGCGTGTCATGGGAAGGCTCTTTACTTCCTCAAAGGACCTTCGCGCGCGAAAAAAAAACAGCATTATTTCCCCATTCCTGCGCACAAGCGTGCAAGCGCATCGGGCGAACGCGGTGTCAACAAGCACCAAGAAAAATGAGACGGTCGCGCGTCGAGGCTTGAGGCCCCCCCCGGTGAAGCACGCGATGATTAATTGCTTTGCCAGGGAGGGTCTGGAACAAAGCGCATGGTGCGAAGCGCCACTGCAGTCTTGTATATATATATATATATATATATATATCCATACACACATAAGTATATGTTCAAGACTGCATTGGCGCTTCGCGCTATGCACCTTGATTATTGAAGTTCCGCATGCAGGCGGAAGGGCAAGAAGGTAAAGCGGACAATTCAACGATAATGCCTTCTTGCCTTTTTCCGTCACTGCCGTTATACTCATGGTTTTCCTTATCCTTCCCTCATGCTTCCTCTTCCTGTTTCCCCTTCTCGCCCTACACTGCGAATTCTTCCCGCTCCTCCTCGGTTGTTTTTGCGGAGGGTCCGCCTCGGAGAACCTTTTGGGGTCCTCTCGAAAGCCAACCGCGGTCTTCCTGAATGACCAGGACACGATTTGGAATGCTTCAAAGGGCGTCTTAGGGCCATCTTGGCCGTCATGGGGCTCCCTTCGGGCCATCTTGGAACCCTGTTGTGCCATCTTGGGGCTCTCCTGGACTTCCTCGGCGGTCTCGGACGCACGGAAGACCCAAGAACAGAGCATCGTCAAAATCAGACAGAAACCATTGTAAATCCGTTGTTCTTCGTTTCGAAAGCCATGGGAGTCTTCTCTGAATCGTCTTCGGGCGTCTGCTGGGTGTCTGGAGCCTCTCGGGGCCCTCGGGGGTCCGTTCGGCAGCCCTCCTGACCGATTTGGGCCCGTTGCCTAGGCCCAGCAGGGGCTTCCAGGAGCTCCAGAAAGCATGGGGTGCCTCCTGCAGTGGCGTCAACGGAGCTCCCGTGGCCACGGATCCGGGGGTTCGGTTTTGGGGGTGAGGTTCCCTCCCGGCTTGCAAACATATAGGAAGAGAGGACTGTATATATATATATATATATATATATATATATATATATCAGAGTGAGGGGGCCGAACGGTCATTCATTGTCCCTGGGTGCGTGGCTGAAGTGAGATTCCGCGGTGCGGATTCGTGTTGTTGTTGTTGTTGTTGTTGTTGTTGTTGTTGTTGTTGTTGTTGTTGTTGTTGTTGTTGTTGTTGTTGTTGTTGTTGTTGTTGTTGTTGTTGTTGTTGTTGTTTGTTGTCGTCGTCCCACCCGCAACCCGCCCCGCGACCCACCCGCGACCCACCCCGCGACCCACCCGCGACCCACCCGCGACCCACCCGCGACCCACCCGCGACCCACCCCGCGACCCACCCCGCGACCCACCCCGCGACCCACCCTGCGACCCACCCTGCGACCCACCCGCGACCCACCCGCGACCCACCCCGCGACCCACCCCGCGGCCCACCCCGCGACCCACCCGCGACCCACCCGCGACCCACCCCGCGACCCGCCCGCGGCCCACCCCGCGACCCACCCGCGACCCGCCCGCGACCCACCCGCGACCCACCCGCGACCCACCCGCGACTCACCCCGCGACCCACCCGCGACCCACCTTCGACCCAAACCACGTTCAAGGTACAAACCAACATTTTCGGCGCCTGCGGCGGGCTTTTTTTGCATTCCTTCCAGGTGGAGAGCCCGCGACCCACCCCGCGATCAACTCGCGACCAACCCGCGACCCAAACCACGTTCAGGGTACAAACCACATTTTTCGGCGCCTGCGGCGGGCATCTTTTGAATCGTTCTAGGTGGAGAGACCGCGGCCCACCCGCGACCACGTTCAGGGTACAAACCAATTTTTTCGGCGCCTGCGGCGAGCATCTTTTGCATTCGTTCCCGGTGGAGAACCCGCGGCCCACCCGCGACCCAAACCACGTTCAGTGTACAAACCAATTTTTTCGGCGCCTGCGGCGGGCTGCTTTTGCAGGAGGACGAGGAGGGGGAGGAGGAGGAGGAGGAGGAGGAGGAGGAGGAGCAGCAGGAGAAGGAGGAGGAGCAGCAGGAGGAGGAGGAGGAGGAGGGAGGGGACGACGACGATGACGTCGACGACGACGACGAAAAGGAGGAGGGTGGAGGATCGGGAGGGGGGGAAGAGGAGGAGGACGACGAGGAGGAACATGACGACAATGGGAGGACGATGATGGAAGGACGAGGGGGGGAGAGGGAGGACGAGGAAGAAGCGGAGGAGGAGGACGAGGAGGAGGAGGAGGACGACGATGACGATGAGAACGAGGACGAGGACGAGGAAGAGGAGGAGGAGTAGGAGGCGGAGGAGGAGGAGGAGGGAGGAGGAGGAGGAGGAGGAGGAGGAGGAGAGGAGGAGGAGGAGGAGGAGGAGGAGAGCGCCATCGACAAGGAAGGTGGGGGCCACGAGGTCCGCCGGCTTGACGACGCCCGCGTCGCCCGCGCCCGCCCCCTCACTCTTATCCGCAATTGCGGGGTGCTATATATATATATATATATATGTATATATATGTATATATAGATATACACACATACATATATATATATATATATATATACACATATATACGTATATGAGAGTGCGTGATCCACCGCCGCTTTACTGTGGAAAATTGCAACCCTTTTCCTCCTGAGCCCGGGGTTCCCTCCCCCCCCTCCCGAAAATCCCCCCCCCCCTGCTGGAACCCCTCCCCCCCCCCCCCCCCCTCACCCGGCAAAACCCCCCCCCCCTCGGACTCGAAAACCGGGGGGGGTCACTACCGGTTCGAACCCCCCCCCCCTCGAAAACCCGGGGGGGGGTCACTACCGGTTCGAACCCCTCCCCACCCCCCCTCTCACCTCCAGCAAACGACTCCCGGTCCCTGTCCCCATACCACTGTCCCCCACCGTCCCCTCCACTGTCCCCACTGTCCCCACTGTTCCCACCATTGTCCTCCCCATTGTCCCCACCACTACCGTCCCCCACACTGTCCCACTGTCCCACCACTGTCCCCACCACCACCGTCCCCACCACTGTCCGCACCACCCTCGGTTTTCGAAAGGGGGGGGGGGTTCGAACCGGTAGTGCCCCCCCCGGTTTTCGAGTTCGAGGGGGGGGGGGGTTCGAACCGGTAGTGACCCCCCCCCTTTTCATGATTTCGTGATGAACTGGGGGGGGGGGAGGGGTTCGAACCAGTAGTGACCCCCCGGTTTTCCAGAGGGGGGGGGAGGGGTTCGAACCGGTAGTGACCCCCCCCGGTTTTCCGCCAGCAGCGGTAGAACACGCTCTTTCATATATATATATATATATATATATAGAGAGAGAGAGAGAGAGAGAGAGAGAGAGAGAAAAAAAAAAAGAGAGAGAGAGAGAGAGAGATAGAGAGAGAGCGAGAGACAGAGAGAAAGAGAGAGAGACACAAAAACTGGAAACAGAGAGAGAGAGAGGGAGAGAGAAAGAGAGAGGAGCGCTGTCCCGCGGCGGCGCCGCCGCAGCTTGGTATCCGCCTGGGGGCGGGCGCCCGTAGCCGTCCTGAGGGGGGCGAGGGGGGAGGTGAAGGGGGCGAGGATCGAGAAGATCGTCGCCGAGAGAGCTCGACAGCCGCGCGCGCGTGCGCGCAGGCTCTCACTGCCCCGTCGTGCTGGCAGCCCCCCCCCCCCACCTTCCTGCCCGTGCTCGGCGGGCGGCTCTCGGCAGTAGAGTGGCGGCGAAAGGAAACATGCAACAATTGTCAATACGGAGCAAACAACTGCTACCAATGCCCAATTCCGTGTCCCCCGACTCGAGCTGGATCTCCAAAAATCTGTCCAAGTCTAACGGGTGGTCTGCAAGATGCTCATCGCGTTCCCTCGGTTTGCGTCGATCTGGTCCGATCAGAATGGCTTTCTCCTGGCAGGCCGATCGGGGAAGAGTTAAGCCCTTAGGGAGATGACAGAGGAACGTACATGATGGTCTTTGCCACGGCCACGCCCGCCTTGAATTCTGGGCCAAAACGTATACCAGGAGAGGTCTGGTACCGTCGACAAGAGAGGCCCTTGATGTCCTCTGGGAAACCCGTGTCTATTTGTTGATCGGTCGAACTTACGCCCTGGCTAATGCAGCTGTACCCCAGTTGTGGCAGTTGCGCCCTGCATGCGCCCCAGCATTGTCTGATCTCGATCCCTCGTGGCCATTCCCTGGCCCATCATGGCTAGTACCTAGTGCTGGTACTCGTCCTGGCCACAGCGCAAATATAGTTCCAGTGGTAGTTATCACCATGATGAGCGTGACAAAGCTGATGACAACAACACCTGCAACTGCACCCGCACCGTCAACTGCAGCAGCAGTAGCAATGGTCGCAACAAGAACAACCTCCTGATGACTGCTCTTCGGGTGCATAAGGTCTGCCCCCGTCCCCAGGAGACCCTGGATACACTAAACAATCGTACTGATGCCGCTCCTCCGCGCACCTCTCCCGGGATACGTTCTGACCAGAAGTTCGAGGCGAATCCATCCGTGGGGGCGAGGAAGAAAAGGGCAGCGGTATGGGCATCTTCTCCTCCGATGAGACCCAGCCAGGAGGAGCCCCTGCGCTGGAGAGAATATGCGACATGCCCTGACATCCGCCGACCTGATCTTTCTCAATCCCCAGCCCCAAAGGTCCCGACCCCTTCCCTGGGGGTAGTTCTTCGTCCCCGATCCATGGTTGACGCCCAGACCCAAGAGATCACGCCGTCGCAAGCCTGGGTGTGCGCATCTCGAGCCTGGGGCGCTCCGAGGCGCGGCCACCAGCGGGGCTGCCGCGCGCGAGGCGGCGAAGGCGGCGGCGGTCCCAGACCGCTGGAGCGCCCTGCCACTTGGGCATCGGCGGCGGTGCGCCGGTGGAGCCGCAGTGCATGGGGGCGCAACCTGCGCGGGTCTCTGCTGTGCGCGCCCACCGCGCCAGCCCGTGGCGTCCACCCTAAATCTGGAGGATCGAAATTCGAGGGTTCAGGTTTTGGGGCGGGGGCTTCTATCGGCCATGGCCCGGGTTCGCCTCGGAATTCTGGTCAGAGCGGATCGGTTTGGGACCCTCAATCCCGCATCTCCGACGAACTATCTTTTTCAATCCAGGTGCTTTTCCTCCATTTCGGCCCCTGGGGCCGGCTGTCGGGCCCCAGGGCAATGAAAAGGTCGGGAGCTCTGGAGCAGCGGGTTGTGCCCTGCTCTGCCGTCAGCGCCAGACGGGGACTCTATGGTCGGTGCAGGAGAGCGGCGCTCTCCTGCCACTCTCCTGCACCATCCCGCGCAAGAGTCCGGCACTCTCATGTCTGGGAGCACTGCACCATGTCTGGGATGCCTTCAGGTCCCGATCCAACGCGGTGCGGAGCGTCTTTGCTTGACCCTGAGCGCCGAAAAACCATGCACGACGCCTTGGGAGACGCCACCGCGGTGCTGTACACCTGCGGGCTGCCGAAAGTGCCTGTCACTGGGTACGTGCCGTCTCGGTGGCGCTGATGCCGTGCCTGGGCCGTCCTGCCGCGAGACGAGACAAGACCGAGGCAGGCGCGCGGCGTCGTGCTCGATCTCGCCCAGACCTCGCGTGACACTCTGCTCGCTCTGGCTCCGCTCGGGGGCTCTGGGCACACACCGCGACAAACTTCTCGAGCCGAGCCCTTGAAGACTGAGCTCCTCCCGGGCGGCCACATCGTACAAACTGCAAGCACAAGCTGAAGCAAGCGCGGCACCGCAGAAATGTACCCCATCCGCCTGCACCACCTCACTTCCAGGAAACTGGGCCCAGCCGCTCGCGCGTTCCCTCTGGCGGCTGTGGTGAGCCCGTGTGAATCCTTGAGGGGGTGCCGTTCGAATTGCCAATCAGCCTGCGCCGAAACGCCGGGAAGATCGACAACACTGGAAAGCAGTCTTTTTGGCTGTATCTCGTCAGGCCGAAGGTTCTCTGGGGGACCTCTTGGGACGTGCAGCGGCTGCCGTGCAAGCCTCGTGGGGCCTTCTTGGCCTCTCTGACCGCATGAAGGGCCAACTGGAATCTTGTTCGAGGGCTCCCTGAGGGGCCTCTGGGGGAATCTTAAAGCTCTTCGGCCCTCATGCGGCATCCTCGGGCCGCATGGGACGCCCTGGGTAACAATCTAAATCATCCTGGACCCTCCTGGGTGTCTTCAGCTATCCGCCACTGGTCCGCGAGGCACTGAATAGTGTGTCCTTAGGGCCCCTCAATAAGAAAAACACAAACGGCATACACACAATTTCTCTCAGGTCCGCGCGAATTTCTTGCATCGGCACTGTACCCCCCTCCCTGGTTCTCTCCGCGCGCCCAGGGCGGCGCGGGAGGCGCCGCCAAAGGCGTCCCAAGGCCGATTCAAGAAATTCGCGCGGACCTCCGAAAACTCCCACCAGCCCTCTGGGCGTAGGCGGTCTAACGAATTATTTCTTTCATCTTGCAAAATGCCGGCGTAGGCGGTCTATCGTGTTGGCAATGTCAGGCCGGAGGCCTATCAGCGAGACCGTCATCAAGAGGCAGATGCTGTTCATGGGCCAACTTGCGCGACGCCCTGACAACGACCCTGTCCGGCAATCTGTTTTCCAGCCAGGTGGCATAGATCTTCGGCCCCCGTCCGGACCTCGGCGACGAGGGCGCCCCAGGCAAGCGTGGGGAAGCATGGTTTTTCGAAATTGTCTTGAAGTCGTTGGTTCCCTCGACGCGCTGTCTGCATACGTTCACCCCTCAGGTGGGGCGGCAGCATCGTGGGAGTCGGCAGTGAGATCTTGGTGCCCGAACACAGGGTAGCACCGCAATTTGACATCGCGGTGCCATGTTTCACCTTGCTCGCGCGCCGCCTGGCGCTAGGCTTCTCGCTCGCTCGCTCGCTGCAAAATCACTATTCCTTTCGGGATGGGGTACCCTTACCCTCCTGTACCCAGGGTCTGGACTTGTGATGGAAGACGCCTCAGAGAGAGGCTTTCGTGGGAAAAACCATAAATTAGCTAAACATTATACGAAAATTGTTGTTTTTTTTAGAAACATGGAATTCGGTTTTGAATACGTTTTGGATACCTCAAAACTGCAGAGACGATTTCGCCTATCCCACGGGATGTGCGGACCGATGTCATCATTGAAACTGAGCCACCCACCAGTGCGCGAGAAACCCTTTGAAGACGCAGGGCCAAGCAACCAAAAATCATGTTCATCAAGCTGCTGCTGTCTCCTGCTTGCTTTCCTGTGCTGTCCTCTGCTCTGCCTCCACCCCCAGGAGGGCAGGAAGGGAAAGGCAGGAGGAGGGCAGCAGGGGAAAGGAAGAAGGGCCAGGGAGGGTAGGGGAAGGAAAGGAGGAGGAAGGGCAGGAGAGAAGAAGAGAAGAAGTCAGCAGGAGCAGAAGCAGCAGCAACAGCAACAGCAGAAAGGGGCAGGAAGGTGAGAGGCAGCAGGAGCAGCACAAGGGAAGAGGGAGGAAGGAGACACGACTTCCAGGCGCCCCAGGAGTCAGGCTCTCCGGGCGCAAATGAGCACGAGGTCTTACATGCCTCGTGCTCGCGCAGAGGGGCGGCGAGCGGCTGCGGGGTTCCTCCCCCTCCTTCGGCGTTCCTCTTCCTCCTCCCTCCTCCCCCCCCTCCCTCGTCCTCCGCTCCTCCTCCTCCTCCTCCTCCCTCCCTCCCTCCCTCCCCTCTTCCCCCCTCCCCCCCCCTCCCCTCCTTCGCCTCCCCCCCCTCCTCCACATCACCGCCGTCGCGGCTTCGAGCCGCGAAGCGCCGCCTACCTCGGCAGCTCGCCGTGCCCCCGCGCGCGCTCCGCCACGGAGGCGATGGTGGCGTGGACCGCCTCCTTGTCCACCTGGGCGGCCGCCAGCCTCTTGAACTCCGCGTTCACCGCGCGCCTGATGCGCACGGCGTTCCTCATCGTCTCCTCGTCCTCCAGGTGGTGCAACAGCGCGCCCTCGACCTGGTGCGCCGCCGCCGCATCAGAGGTGCACTTGTGCACCGCCGAGAGGGCCTCAGGAACGGCCACGCCGTAGAAGTTGCGATCGTCGCGCAGGTGCTGCACGCCTGCTCTGAAAGAATCCACCGCGTGATCGAAACGATCTCCGTCGATCGCGAAAAGCTTGTCGTGGGGCTTGGCCTGCAACTCAGTCCACGTTGCAGTGCTGGCCATGCCCCTGCGCCGCGGCAGGTCGCCGTCGCCGTTCGGCGTGCCCATCAAGGCCGCCGGCTTCTCGTAGCACGACCGCGCCTGGTCGACAGCGTCGCTGTTGTCGTGCTCGCGCTGCGCCTTGACCAGGGCGCGGGCGTTCTCGACGACCAGCGCCACCCTGTCCTGGAGTGTTCCTGGCACTGGCGCCTGCCCGTCGATGGAATCAGTCGCGAGCACCAAGGCCGTCAACAAGGCGCGGTCGCGAGCAGGCTTGGAGCGGATTGCAGGCGCGCTGCCCGTGGCGAGGAACGCCTTCTGCTCAGCCAGCGCCCTCGAGGTCAATCCCAGGATGCGCGCCGTGTCGCTGAGCTGGTCAACCTTGCAGCACCACGACTCGACGCTGGCCCGCAACCGCCGCGCCGTGGAGCACACGGCACCGAACGAGTCATCATCATCCACGGCGGCCAGCTGCGCGAGAGACGCCAGAAACAACTCCTGAATCTCGCTGCTGAACTCGTCTGTCGCCCGCGCCTCGGCGGGAGGACGCCCCTCCCCCCCCTCATCCCCCCGCTCCGTCTCGTTTTCCTACTGCTCCTCCTCCCTCTTCTCCTCGTCCTCTCCCCCATGGGTGTGCCCTCTCCCTTCCTCCTCCTCCCCTTCCCCCTCCTCTTCCCCATCCTCTGTGTGTTGTTGTTGATGTTTTTGTTATCGACCTAAGGGCGCGATAAGAAAACCAGCACCATTGGACAACGCGAAGTACGGCCACCCAGCGATTGCTTCAAGAACACTGAGACTGCCGCCGCGCAGGCACATGTGCATGCCCAGGGATGGCAGCCCACGCATGCCGAGGAACATACAACAACTCTCGCACCACCGCCAAAAGATAAAATGGACTCAAACACAGGATTCGTCGGCTCACGGCCGCCCAGGAGAGGAGAGAGTGACCTGCGAGCTGCGAGTTGCGAGGTTGGCGGCCGCGTCTCTGCCGCGGGCGCCCCAGGGCCCGGGCGCGCTATGAAGCGCAGCCCGCGGCGCCACTGGTAGTAGGCGCCGTTGCAGTTGCGGTAGGCGAGCCAGGCTGCGCCAGGACGGCGCCGCCGAATGTCTACGTGTAGCGCGCGAAAAAAATATGTCTGCCCGCCAGAGGGGGCAGCGACAAGCAGCACACTTGCATGCGCGATCATCCTCGGATGCTTCACCGATGTCCCAGACACGGCATTGCATCGCGGGCTTTTCAACCGCGCCTTGAAAAGTCCGCAACCCCGAGACGGCCCAGAAACTGCATCGCAAGGAATTGCCTTGCATCACATATGTGTCAACCACGCCTTGGAAACGCCAGCCACCCCGAGACGGCCTAGGAACTGCATTACATAGAACTGCATTGCATCACTGGCTGTGCAATCACACCTTGAAAAGCAAGCCACTCCGAGAGGGCCTAGAAACTGCATCGCACAGGGGGATGAGGGCGAGGAAATGAAGTAAGAAGAGGAGGAGGAGGGATGGGAGGAGGAGGAGGAGGAGGAGGGACGGAGGAGGAGGATAGAGGAGGAGGTAGGAGGAAGGAGGAGGGAGGAGGGGGAGGGAGGAGGAGGAGGAGGAGGAGGAGAAAGAGGAGGAGGCATTGTCATGAGGCATCAACCAACACCCGACAATCAGAGCCCAAACGCCAGGGGCCCCGCGTGCTGCCACGCGGAAGCGGCACAATGGTCCCAAACGGCCCCGTTTAAGGGGGCTGTCGCAAGAAACACCGAACAAACTCGAAACGTAATGTCCGCAACACAAT